TTCCAGGGTGGGGACCGCGTGATCCTCACTGTGCCTGGTCGGAGACACTACAAGATATGGCTGCCAACCGATGTCAGTGGCGTCCTTGTTGTCAGTTTCTATCCAGATTGCCTGAGTGAATGTCTGGAGGTGTAGGCACCTCGGAATGATTGTTTTAAGCTAGCCTTAAGTCCCTTCCCCATCCACCTTTCCTCTTTTCTTCACAACAAGGGTTTCAAATAAATCATGGTTGTACGGCAGTGAAGCATCTGGGTTGAACATTGATGTCATGCTGTCAATGATGATGATGCCAAACCCTTCCCACCACACAAGCAAAAGCCCCTGGGTCATTTGATTGTGAGTTGTCTGACCGAAGGTCCTTATGCTCCTCGCTCCCGACTAACGATAAATGGAATAACCTAAATCCATGGAACCATTTCTATACGGAAGCTCTCAACGTCCGTACTCTTTGTCAGCTTGACAAACAGGCGATGCTCGCAGAAACCTCATACTCCCTTAAAATTGATGTGCGCTGTCCCCGAAACAGGCATACAAAACACAAGCATGGTTATGCATCTCAGAACACCAACGGTGGACTCAGCTCTTTCACATTTCTCCCTCAGTGTGTCCGGTGGTCAAGAAGCAAGGACTCGTGGAATATTTGGCGTTGGAGTTGCACTCATGCGCCTTTCTGGATTGCACCCCAGTGAACAGTCGGCTTTTCGCCGTCTGGTTATCCAGCTCAATCAAGCTCAGCACCTCTCGACATAAACAGAGGTACCTTTTCGTAGTGTCGGCTTGTGCCCCAACAGACTGCAGGTCTGATGCTGAAAAGGGTACCTTCCATCGAGAGCTATCCGGGCTCATTCATCAAGCAAAAAGCACTGACACTGTGATCCTCGCAGGCGATTTGAATGCTCAAGTAGGTCGTCTGAGCTCCTTGGAATCACATTTGGGTGGTCGATTCGGAGTCGATGCTCGCCGAACAGACAACGGGGATCGCCTCCTTCAGTTGTGTGCTGATCA